CCCACAGATGTCATGCTTGTCCTTCCACGAGTTCGATAGTTTGGGGGTTCAAACTTGCAGGGTTTAGGATGTCAGAACAATTGGGTTCATATACGTATTTGGGTTTGCGGTTTCGCGTTTAGGGTGCATGAGATCCCTGAGCTGTACTGGGATGATGGTTTCTCGGGCCAGGGGTGCGACACGTCTGATCTACGTCAGTTTGATGGAACAGACATAAGAAGTGTACCAGGGAGTGACAGTATGCTAAACCCTTAACCCTAAACTAAACTAAGCCCTAAACCCTAGAAACACAAGGCGCAGAGGCATTGGCAGGAAGGTCAATTCAGCTGTGAGGGTTGCTCCTCGCTCCATTTCGCTTTGAGGTGAATGGACAAGCATCTCAGGAGCGGGCTTATAGGGTTGAGGGTTGTGGGGTTTAGGGCAGATTGGCCGTTGCCGTGAGAGGCAGATTTGACGGCTTAAGGCGCAGGGAGAAGATTTTAACCTCAGATTCCTGATCGGGAAAGGCTCTGAGACTTGTTGGCTAAGTTCGACCTCCAAGGCGTTTTCCACCAATGGATGGAGGTTGCCCGGCCTCATTTTGCAGTCGCAGCACAACGTTTCATCCCCAACAACTTTACAGATGGGTTGGGGCGGTGCCATCGCTTCAAGCTCAAGCTCGTGGGAACCCCGCCAGACTGGCGAAGTCCAGTCTTCCCATATATTATCCTCGTTATTTCATGTTATTGCGATCATGATCATCATGATCAGTATTTTGCAGGGCGAGCATTGCATGAGGGTTCAATAGAAGCCCAGGGCAAAGAGACGACCAAGTAGATATTTGAAGCTTCAGGTCTAGAATCTCAGACTAAGACAGAGCGAAACCTAAATGCTTCAACATGAGATGCTATATGTTTGTATCTCTTGATTGTCAGGGTAGTGCGGACAGTTGTCCCTTCATGTTCGCAACCACTGTCTCCTGATGGTAACCCACAGTGGGTTTTTAATCTTAGACCCTGCAACCCTGAAGCCCTACTTCTTGAACCCTCGGCCCTACAACCTTGAGCTGTTGAACCATCCCGTCTTTGGGTTTAGGGTTTAGGATTGCGGGTTTCCAAACCCTACAACCTTGAAGTTAGGTTTTTCCTCAGAGAGAGCTGAGGTTCCACTGCAAGAGGCAGAGGCCCTTCGTGAAAGCCTCAGCTTGCTGGTTGCTGCTATTGGAGCGTACTGCTCCTACTTGTGCTTTCTCCTCCGAGAGCTCCCAGGCTGGTGGTAGACTCCACCGTGTGTGGCACCAATGATGCATGTTCTATTCCGGAGCGCTATACTTTGCCAGGTCTCCAAGACGTTCGAGATTGTAGGTGTTACCACAAGGGTTCAGGTTCAGGCGCCGTTTGGGTTTGGGCTGTCGGGGTTTAATTATAGAGCTAGAGTATCTTTGTTGGGGGTTGGGGGCCTGGGTTTTGGGGCATAGGGTTGAAGGTTATAGGGTAAATGGTATTTTGGTGTATTGGGTTAAGGTCTTGGACATAAGGATTTGGGGTATAGACGATGCATGGGGTTAGGGTGTGGGGCTATAAGTTTGGGGATAAAGGGTTTAGCGTTACAGGGTGTACGGTATGGGTTTGATTAGATCTGATACAATCAACGACATGTTAGAGTAGGGTTCGGGTATAGGTTTAGGAGATTGGCACTTGCCAACCCTAAACCCTAAACCCTCTTCCAAGTGCTAAGGCCGCAGTCGGTTTGCCCCATGGTCGGACAGGCTTTCTGAAAGGTTTAACGACGGCCTCATAAGTCACAGGGTGCTCCGCCTTGGCTTTATAGCTGTCTTGCTTGGTTTAATAAGGGTTCAAGGCTTTAGGTTGCTTGGTTTTAAGGTAAGGCCGTGATGATCCTTTCCCAGGTTGTTGTCGCCGACGGCGTGCTGCCTGAGGTGGTGAGCGTTGCACTGCGCTGGAAACTCGGGCGTGCTTTTTTGAGCGTTTCCGGATGTAGAGGGCCTTGTAGCTTTTCATAGGGGTTTAGGCGCTCATAAGGCTTGAGATCTTTTCTGCAACGACATTGAAATTGTACTATACCGCTTTCGCTCGTTTCCAGGGCTGAGAGATTAGAATTTCGCGTTTTTGGGTTCAAACGTGTGTGCTGCCGGGCGTCGGGTCATGCAAGTTTTGGGGCGCTGGATGTAATGTGCAACTGTTTATAGGGATTTGTGGGTTTTCTGTGCAGGGCTTCCGGGCCTTCGGGTCCAGAGAAACCAATACCGCAAGGGTCTAGCAGTTCCATTTTCGGATTGTCGCTAGTCAAGGTTCTTGGGTTTGCGACCTGCTACATTGTTTGATCGGTGTTTCATGCTGTTCTCTAGCAAGATCTACATAGTACCGAGGTTGACAGTTTTGCTCATTTATCTCAGCAGTGTGTTTTTGAATTCGCTACAAATACAACCCGACCCTATTCCACCTGTCATATCCCCCTATACCCTCCAACTCCAATCGAAGCTGCTCTTTAACCCTTAAAGTAATTGGAAAAGGAACCGTTTGAGCTTGTTAGAGCCCCTGGTAGCAGGCAGGGTTCCGTCAGACCGCGTTCTCTCCAAGCCCTGTTCCCCACACACAACGACTTTTCTACGAATAACACCAAAAAAGCTACAGGATCCAGAGCCAGACCATATGGGTAGTTGTCAAAGTTGTGGTCCCTTTTTGGGTACCCTAAATAATAGGTGCCGTACTATAACAGGGACCCAAAAAGGGACCATAATTTTGACAACCACCCATATAAACTCAGACAGTTTTGTACGGTGTAGGGTTTATGAAATACTGCGTAGGTAGCTGGGCTTGGAGCCGCATTATACTGGCTTGGCCCCTAAACCCGAAACCTTCTGGCCTTGAAACAGTGATGCTGAGAAAGCTTAAGGTGCAGATGGAATTTCCGTGGTGGAGATCTCTGATGCGCTGAAGGCGGACGTGCTTCGTTTCGTTTGAGGTTTACGGGCCTTGATGAATTTCCACGGGCACGGCACGTGCTTCTGCTCTCCTGACGACGGTTACTGCTCGGACATTGCCATTGCCACTGCCACTCCAACATGGAGGATCACCAGGCCCAAAACGAACGGCCGCCGCTGCTACTGCCAGGATTGCAACTTCCTCTGCTGCTGCCACTCTCGTCCGACTCCGATTCCGACTACGGTGACGACGGGGACGACGACGACAACGACTACGACGACGACGACTACTACTACTACTACTTCTACTCCTCTCCTACTCCGACTCCTGCGACTGCAACTATGACGACTACTACTACTTCTGTTGCTGCTGCGACTACTGCAACTTGTGCTCCTAGCCGGCCGAAACCCGCACATAAAACCACCCTCGTCCTGCAAAGGGCGCCTATGGAGCACAGGGACAAGATCACGATATGCCGAGTGCCAAGCATTTTGGGTGCTATAGGGGTTTGCTATGCAACGGTATAGGGCTTTATGAGAGTTAGTTATTGAAATCGGATTAGGGAGACGCCTGTGGTGCCAGTGTGGCTCCAACTACAATCTACCAAACCCCCTTAGTTAACAGTTACATAAGGTGTCGTAATCTACTGCTATATTTATTGATAAACGTCGTCTGCTTTTTTGACCGAAGTGTAGGCAGCGGACGGTTAACGTAGGTTTGAGGGCTCTCGCAGTCACGGGCTTCGGTTTGGGCCGGGTGTACGGTTCTTCCTAAATTAACAGAGGTGATGTAACGGTCTGAATACCCCCAGACCCTTTCAGTAATAAGACCACGGTAGCTAGATTTCCTTTCATGAAGCATTGTGGAGGTCCAGGGAACGTTCCAAATTCAGCAGGCCTTTCTCACGGTCGCCTATTTTCTGCATGTCCCATTCCATGTTGTGGTGTCTCGAATCCTTAAGTCGACAAGACCAACCAATAAGACCAACCAATATCAAGCTCACAAGACCAGGGGTAGGATCTGCTGCTGGCAAGGGGGTGGTGCATGCTGTTAAATCCCAATGGGTACGATTGCGACCAGCCAAACCAAAGCCGGGCACCTAAGAAAGGAAAGCAAGAAGAACCCATGCACATTTCCGTGTTCCATGCTCAGAGACCCAACGCTATCTCCTGCACCCGTATTCTATACTCTACACCGTAAACCCTGCAAGTCTTAAATCAGATTTTTTTCACATCGTAGCCTCAGTTTCTGGACTGAGCTGACCCTTTATTACGGAACCCATACAATCAAAACCGGGGCGGATGTCGATCAACTGCCATCTGTCAGATTGTTGTCCCAAACTGCCGTGGCATATGTTCCAAGCTCAGCTTCAACCTTGAACCCTGGACCATGCTGGTCCGAACCCAGAAAACCCTGAACCATCAACCCGAAGCCTCAATCCCTGAGTGCTGCATCCTTGAGACTGATTGAAAGTGAGCCGGGCTAGAATTCATACGCTGGGAATAAACACATGACGACGTACTAGTTAGAGGGATCACTTATGTTCCGTCATAGCATACCACAACCCAAAGCATATATTGGGGCCCCTAGATCAAACCTGAGTCCTCCACGTCTCAAGACGAAATATATAGGATCTCAACGATTGCAATACTCATAAAGGGTTCTTCCTTTATACCGACATCCCGAAAACCCTGTTCTATGTGTTGAGGCCTATGTGACACACTCACATTCTCTCTCATAGCACCCTCGTGCTAACCTTTATCGAACTTAGAGGACCTCTTAAAGGAACCCTTTTGCTAAGGCTCCAAAAGTAGGCCAACATCTTCACCATCCGCATTCAGGCCCGGTAGTTGGAAACTATTGCAGCAAAGCTCCACAACGAAGGTAGTTTGTGCGGAGTTTAGGGTCTTAGTCGCGCTCTCCCGCGCCTCGCCCCCGCCCCACCTGCCCCGCCCCACACCTCGCACAGCACACCACACAAAGCTAAATCGAAGTCTAGGGTCGGATCTCGCTCACCAAGCCGCCAGCCGTTTGTGTTTTTCAAGCTTTTGACAAGATTTCTCGCAGCCGGAAACCATGGCAGTCCTTTTCGCAACTCCTGTCGTTGTTCTGTTAGTCTCCTGCCACATCATCCTGGTCGGAGTGGAAGTCAAAGGCCATGCCCAAAAACTGGCGACCGTGTTGGAGAAGGTTCCCGCCTTGTTCATGCCGCTTCGAGATCCGAGGTTGGATGAAAAGTTGGAGAACCTGTCAATATCGCTCAATCTCTGGGGCGCACGAGCATTCATTCATTTTCAGATATGTATCTTGGCCACGCTCCTTTTCTATGCTTGCATAGCTCCAACTCTATGCTTTTTGTCTCGGGTTCTGCTTTTCGGCCTTCTGTATGCGCAAAGCCTTGAGATGATTTTAAAGGGCTCCCGTCTGTCGGCCTGGAGGATACGAACGATGTATGTTTCAGCGATGGCAAGTTGGGAAACTTTATAATTTCCCGTGCTGGCTCCCATAGAGGTATGTACTCATGAAGACTTTTCAGAGCCCCAAAACTACAACCCAGGTTTCAGTGATGGCGATTTTCTTCTTTCGCGCTTTGCTCCCAGCCTGGAGCGATGAGCACAGTGGCTTCGACCAGCTGGACATGGTGGTTGCAATTGGTTGCGGAGTGGCCTCTCTATCTTGCAGGAGCCTCGATAATGACCTATACTATTGTTTGGGGGGGCTTCCTCATTAAAACTACAGTATAATGGCCCAAAACCCCATCCTATGTTCCCTACATTATCTTGTAGGACTGCCATGGTGCCATTGGTGATAATATTTCTTGCTGATTCCTGGAGCAAGAGCCTGGGTCATGGCTACAGCTTGTTGGAGACCTTCGTTGCGAATGGTCAGCGGTGCTTGTGTTCAACAGCTCTTTGCGTACCTTAGATCCCCAATACCCAACCTTTTAAACTTTTTGGGCTCTTATGGTGTAGTAAGTTTAGTAGGAATCGGAAAGTGTAACCTTTTGTTTCTGTGGCTTATGGCGGGAGTAAGGCACTAGTCGAACAGCTAGCTCGAGCCATGATTGTATCTGAACTCGACGCACGGGAAGCTTTGGAGGCCTTCCGAAGCATCGTTCGATGCTGTATGGATGCAGACGTAATGCTTGACAGCCAGTATCAGATGCGAGACCGACCAACGAGATTGGAGTTGCTTCTTCATTGCCAGGATGAAATGACGGGGATGTCCTTTTTGGATTTGCTTCCAGACGACACCGCCACCCATGACTTCCTCAACCTAGCGGAAAAGAGCGTTGAACAAGCCACCTCTGGCAAGAAGGTCGCCCCAGTAGCTCGCTTGGGCTTGAAACGGGCCTCTGGTGGCTTGGTTCGAGGAGACATGTACGTGGTCCATATTCCTGACAGGTTTGGCCAGGGAAGTCGCTACCTTCTTGGTTTTATCGAAGACCCCGAAGCTTAGGGGTACTTAGAAATATTGTGTTAATTTTTGGTCATTATAATCCCCCACGAAACAGCTAAAATTATAATTGTTTGCTAGGGTTCTAAGTTCAGTATAGATGATAGGGCCCTTATTAGTTACTATAGCGTCCCTCTAAGGGGTCTATAAGGGTTTCAGTATAGGAAGCCTCCGACGTGCAGCCCTGCGATGCGGGTCTTTCTGTGGACCGGGCTGCAGTTCAAAAGTCGGCGAGGCGTTTTTGCTTGGCTTCCTCTTCCTCAGCCTCTTCCTCACAAAGCAATAAGAAGGACCCTCCTAAATATAATCTCCCAATAAAATGGTGTACTTCCAACAAAAAGAATCTAAAACAGGGTTTTTTAGGGTTTAGGGTTTAAGGGTCCCGTGTACTGTTATGGGGGATACTTCCCTAAGTCCTGATAGTAATTCCTAATATAAAAACCCTACATTCTACTATAAAGGTACTTTGGACCCTTTGGGATAAGAAGGACCCTCCGATTTCATTAACATCTTGCCGGGAGATTGTCGACATCAGCTTATTCCTGGATGGGCAGACCGAGTGGTTTGACATCAAAGAGGCCAGGATGCGGTTCACACGGTTCGAAGACCGAGGATCGGGGATGCCGACTCTCAAACACATGGTGCTTCCTTCGGAATGGCAATCAACGTTGCCCAAATTGCAGGAGGCTGTGTGGAGCGCGCTCGGTACGGATATTGGGTTCGTCCCACAGGGCCTCGGTCCTGTGCATGTTCGCATGCCAGAGATCCTGCCAGAGGGAAATGCGGGAAACTTGTCCCTTCTTGCCAGAAGCTCGCAGCTTAGAGTGGTCCAGGGGGCGAACATGAATCAAGATGGATCGGACCTCTCGGTACAGCCTGTCTATCTCTGTCTGCAGCTCTACAACTTCGCCCAGCTGGACCATCGTGGCCGCCCTTTAGATCTTGGGGGCGTTTCTGAGTTCAGTTCCATGCAGTCAGAAGCCTCGGAGTACTGAACGAAAGCTTCGTATCCAGCGCAAGCTAGGCTGATGCCTGAGGCATCAAAGCCATTTTCTCAAGCCGTGTCTACTGGACGAGAAGGCATTTTGCTTGTGGCAAAAGCTGGGAGCGGGGGGCTGGCAGGTTTCTTCCTAAGATCGCTAGGGTAATTACTATAGGGGCCAAAACAATTACCTATACTCTTTCAGCCGTTCCTTATTGCCCTATGTTATATATTTATAGCAGATTGGGCGCCAATACCCTATTCTACCTATTGAGGCCCCTACAGTACAGACACCAACTAAGCCTGGTCCGGAATCAGTATCGACCATCCTGTCTGTATATGTACTTGGAGCATCTTTGGGTTTCAACACAGGCACCTGCAACTTTACCGTCGAAGTACCTACTGACTGTAGAAGTACATGGACCCTAAACCCTAAACCATAAGCCCCAAGCTTATTCTTCAAGAAGGAGCCGCCATGGTTTACATCGTCAACATCACCACGTTTAATATGATCAGCTGCGTGAGTTCTTGATAACTTGCTGCGATCTGATGGGCAATTGCCCAGCATTCTCACTCTTGGGGGAGTGTTAGAGTTGCCGTTCCACCGGTTGGTACAGGCAAGCATACCAAGACTTGATTGCTATTGCCACTGGTTGCGGGAACTTCATGTAGAACCCAAACCCCCATAGCCCAGCGTAAGGCAGCTAAACAGCTGGTGGCTTGAGCGTGGGGTCGTCCAGACCTCAGTGGCGTTCCGCTATGGGACAAGGGAGGAGGACTTGGAGTTGTGTTGGTTTGTGTCATTGTATAATATAGGGGCCGAAATAATGACCAATACTATTTTCTGGGTTCCTCATTACAAGTATCGTATAATGGGCCTCACAACCCTAGTCTAATTATTGAGGCCCTTATAGTAGGGGTTCGGAGGCGGGTTTAGTATCTGTGGGTCGGTTTGCAGGATGCAGGCTTGAACTTGGTTTTGAAGTCCAGCGCGTCTAGGATCTACATTCAGATACCCGCCACCTTGGCACTGACCCCGGCAACCGATAAGCTGCCAAACCTAAGGCGAAAGAGTCCACACCTTGTCCCCGGGAGTAGCCTGCACCGTAAGTTACCTATAATATATACATGCATTAGGGCTCCCCATCATCATCATCATGCTAGAATACATACCCCATCACCATATCTCCTTCCGCCTTACATGGTATCCGATCGCGCCTAGGTATCGAGCCTAGCAGTTTAAACTGTCGTTGTGAAAGCCGTACACACAGAGATAAAAGCCGACTGTGCAAAGATTGGCCGTCCCATGATTCTACTTCTGGCCGCGAAGAGAGGGAGAAGCTGAGTATTCCGTCCGCGATGCGTCTTCTCCTGCTGAGCGAAAGTGGGAGGTCTGGCTGGGCACGCGCCTGGAACGGGTGGTTGGGGCCACAACCTGCGTAAAAGCTGATCCCAATGACTTGACTGGGCCCACGTATCGACAACCGGCGAGCTGCGTGGGTGCACCCACGTAGCAGTGGCTGGGCCCGCAGATTCAAGTCGAAAGAGCACCATGGGCAGCCGAGGAGGTGTCTGACAAGAGGCAGACAACGTTGCCGGCTTATGCAGCGAGTGGTGAGGCGACATCATGGTGGCAAGTGTTTCGTTTGCCGCGTGGTGCGTCGAGTGGTGAGGCGACAGCTAACCTTAACCGTTTGAGCCCAACAGCAACCGTAATCCCCCCTGCCAACGCATCATCACACCCTGCTATGCCCCACAACAAACACCGATCCCAACAACTTTGAAGTGTGAACAGTTCCTGAATCCTCTAGGCTTCACTTTGAGGTCCAAAGTATGCATCAATTAGGTATTTGGTATGGAAGGCAGTCTCTGCATATGATCATCAGGTACTCGGATGTTGAGGGGGAAGCCTTTAAACCCTAAACCTAAACCTCTAAGCCTGAAGCCCTACCCCCCTCATTCGGTTCAGGCCCCAACGGCCATCAAGCTGGCTGCCGGGAGCTCGGCAAGTAGGACGCGCGAGCTTTCAACGACCATCAGGGTTTTGGGTGCTCAGGGTTTTGAGTTTTGGGGTTTTAGGGCTTTCAGTTTGGGGTTTTTATTGTTTTGTTTTTTGGGGTTTTAGGGTTGTGGGTTTTGAGATTTTAAGGTTTAGTCAGGGTTCGGGGTTTTCAGGGTTAAGGGATGGATCGAGGCCTTTGAACGATCATTTGGGGATGCATGTCCTAGCATCGAGATCCCTGACGCCAAGCGGAGACTCTGCTCTAGTTTATTGAGGAGAGAGCAGGCCCTTGTCGTTTAAAAACTACCATATGCATAACACGTTAACAAGTGTTGCAGATACCTGGTACCTTGCAAACGTAGTATCGTCGTAGGGTTGTGATGAGGCGCGTTTTTGGAGCTTGGCACATTGGTTTCGGAAGTTTAGGGTTCGATTGTTGGCAGAGTGGTTTCAAGGTTGTACTTCGAGCTTGTGGCCGCGAAGGGAGTGACAGTTCCAGAGTTTGGGTGCCATGGAGACCTCGTTCATTACAGGGGCCTCTGGATGTCTTTTACGGACACCTTCATCCGGTAGATGATATACATGATGCAGTACCCATAATAAGGAATATATTATGGTTTTCCGATAGTTTAGGGTCCTTAAGGTAACTCAGGGTTTATACCATCAACCGTAGGATGACTTCGGAGTCTAGGGTGTCGGCGTCTGGACTCTAGGGTTCAGGATGCCTGCCATGTGCGATTTCTTGCTGTCGGTTTTTGAGATCGAATGTCAAGGTCGGAATATTCCGGAATAGTATCCCCTTGAAGTCTCTGATGGAGTTCGAGTATAACATACCTTTCAAAACGCATTTCCAATTGTGAATTATAAATGCCCCGAATTTCAGGGGGGGGGGTTGCTCTAGACCATGTGAGCTTTTGTCACATTTGCAGTAGTTACCCAAAAGATCATGTACAACAACTCAGATCTTCAAATGTTGTGCCTATTCAGAGGGCTTCTTCGGTTAGCAGACATGGCGCACAATTTGAACTTGCAAAACCCACCAACTCGAACTCCAGAGGCGCAGGAGTTCCCAAACACGACCCTAAATTAGCAGGATCCCAGGATCCGTCGTAGAAGACCCTGAAGGAGGTATCCCGAGACTTGAGGAATTCTCCCCCCCACCCCCCTCAAATATGGAGGTTTGGAACATGACGGCCTTCGACCGGCTGCTCTTCCTGGATGCGGATACCCTTCTCCTAGGCAGTGCCCTGAACCTTAAAACCTAAGCCCTAAACCCTAAACCATGCCTTAAACCTTTAAAGTCTGTACAAATCAACCCTACATCCTTAAGCGCAAATCTAACAAGTACAAGCCCCAATCAATCCGAGACCCTTGTGCATCCTGCAGAATGCAGTCCCCGGCTTAATCAACACCTTTTTCTCAAAGTCGCCGGAATCAGGTTTACAGGGGCACTCACATTTGGATTCCAACGTTTAGGTCTGGGGTTTTAGATTGTAAGGTTGATTGCCTTCTTAAGGCAAGTTAAGGAGGTAGCGCTCTAGACCCTGCGTATTCCTTTGAAGTCATTTTCTTTCTATTCTTGTAGTAGAGATCCAAGGGGATGTTACTCGTGCCGGTTCGTACTTTGGGTTTAGAGGGCTTATAGGATGAAGGCTCCTGTTTGGACAAGGAAAACGCTGAACCAATGTAATAAGATCCCCGAGTTAGGGTTTGGGGTTCGAAGGGGGACCGGAATTCAGCATTGAGAGACTACTCGCCGCCCTCAGAGTTCGGACTTCGGAGGTTCAGGTGACAACCCACTTGGCACAGCTCTGCACGACGGTTCTTCACAAGCTCAGAGACTCACAACACCTCAAGCTTCAAACCAGCAACGTCTTGTTAGAAGCCTCATGCGAAGACTTTCGAAACAGCTTGCAAGGCCTCAAACCCTAGCCCGTCGACCCGATTCCCTCGATCCGGGCAAGCCTCTAACTGCAAAACTCAACCGGGCTGCGCATTGCATTCTTTACTTGGGAATTCGAAAGTACAAGGGGCTTAGACTCCATCCCTAGTGGAATGACCCCACAAGGATCAAAGAAAGCCTGTAAAACACCCGAAAGAAATTCAGACCTATGTACGCCCGCAACTCAACGTCTTGTAGAACTCGAATGGAAACCTCATAGAAAAGGTAATTGAAGGCGACCTCACCCGCCGCTTCACCTCTACACCGCAAACCACCAAAACCCCGCGAACCTACAAGGAGTACAGCGGACCTTCTAACACCCTTTTTGGAACAGGCCCGGTGGACGAGCTATTCGAGCTGGACTGCGGGGGAGTAACACTCACATACACTTGCTGTACTTCGCAGGGTTCAGGGTTTATCAAGGGTTGTGGTTTGTTACACAGGGGTTGGGGCTATGAGAGGGCTGAGGGGTTTAGAGTCTAGGGTTTATCATAGCGTTCCGGGTTTAGGGTGTAGGGTTTGGGCTCGATCAAGTTTGCTCCAAGGGTTCTCTGGGTTCTGTTTTCTCCACTTCGGGGGGTTCGGTTCGGGATTTAGGATTTAGCGGTGATGGGCTCTGTAAGGGTTTATGACTTGGGCTTAGCAGTGACAAGAGGATCTACACCGGCTCTGTCAGTCTGTAGCGGGTTTATAAGCGATGCCACTGGGGTTCAGGGCATTGGATTCAATAGGGCTTCATAGGAGATTCTTTAAGGGTGCGCAAAGGCTTCGCCAAGGCTGCTTTGCTGATTTGGGTTTTCGGGTTTCTCTTTGCCTCCAAGGAGTGATCAGCTTAAAGCTCATACCCATTATTCGATCAAAACCTACGCTGCCAACGCAGGGTGGTTGGTGTCGGCGGGGCGGGCTCAGGGTCTCCGATGTACGGCCCAGGTTTGCAGACTCAGCCAGCTTATGAACGCTGAGCTTTGCTGTGTTGAGCCTAGAACAGATCCTTTCATCTTCAAAGACGAGACCAAAACGCACCGCGTCTCGGAATCCTCTGCCCTGCCGCAAGACTAAGCCCTGGGAAGCGAAAGACGCTGCGGTGGATACTGCCTGGGCTGAAATTCTGACTTGTTAGAAGGGGCGTACATTTCCCCCTTACTAAGCTAGTCGATTGGAAGCCCAATCGTGTTAGCCCTAAGCCCTAAACTACAGGGTTGAGGTTTTGGGTGTTGGGGGAATTGAAATCCAGGTTCAAAGTTTGTCTTGAAGCATCATGGGCACTTGTATATGTATATATGTATATGTATATATATATATATATACACAGGATCCTCAACCTGAAACCCCGCAGGTGTTTGTCTCCTTGTTCCGCAGGCCTTCTCATCCGATTGTTGAATCGGGAGCTTCCAAATCCTGCTTGAGATCTTAACTAGTAAGATGCGTGTTTATCGCAAGGACCCCTAACCCCAATGCAGACCCGACACTTACCCCAGCTCAGGCGGACGAAAATGTCGGTGCAGGATGTCAAGGTAGATGCATGGTCCCAGTTCAGCGAACTTGGGGTACTTTATGGGGAGGGATAGGATATCTTCTGCTTTATATAGTCTTTCGTGCAGCAAGCTTGAAGGAATGTTAGAGGACTGTTGGGTTTCGGGCTTCGGTGTCGACGCAGAAAAGCCCCTAAACCTTGAACCCTAAACCCTGCACCCTAAGCCCCAACCCATTAACCGGCAGGATACCTTCGCGTCGGGCTTGAATCCATACTCTGTGCACGGGACGACGGAGTTCCACAGTGGCCAGGTGAAGTACAGGCACCCTCCGAGCTGAATCGGTTCGGACTGGTCACACTTTATTTGACACGGGTGACTGGTTTGTGAATTACTTCTAATGGGTGAAAACCAACCCCGCTGGAAGCTCAAACTCAACATTTTTACCGTGCAGACTTTGGGTGTTGAGCCGTGGAAGCTCTTGCACCAACCTTCAATAATTTCTGTACTACGGACCCCATACTATGAATCTTCCTAAGCACCCTTTACACTTTACACCCCCCCGACCCCCGAAGCCAAAGCATCTCTAAACCCCACCCAGACCAAAATCCCAACCCCAAAGCTCTGAGCTCTGAAAAACGACCCTTAGAGTTTTCCTTAGAGGAACCCTTAGCTGTACCCTTCAAGGAACCTTTAAGGGTACCTTGAGAAGAACCCAAAAAGAATTAGAGTATATCTTGCCCAGTTTGGGTAATAATGCCACCGTCAACCCATTAGATGATTATTCCTAAATTCCCCCCCGACACTTCACCGATATATCACTACTACTTCCCCATTAGATGAGTATTCCTATACTCCCCCCTACACTTCACCGATATATCACTACTACTTCCCCATTATCAATACAATTCTAGGAGTAACCACTACCCCATCTATATTCTCTAAGGTGGCATTATTACTCAAAAGGGGTGAAGGGTTCCTTGTAGAATTTGGTTCAGGGTTTTGGGGGTTTTGCAGCACGGAGTGGACAACGGCATCTACAGCAATGACGAGATCTCCACAACGACTGCAACATGCCAAACAAGGACTGCAGGGAGCGTGGTTCATTGGGGTGCTGTTGCAAGAGGTCTGCTTTGAGATTGTGTGAGCACCGTTTGTTGCCGCAGCGTTCCTTTCTGCCCGAGCCGCGTGTCGGTATGACAACGTAGAGCACCGTGAAGCCGCTCGCAAAGCCATAAACGTGTTGAAGGCCGCCACGGGCGGTCATGTGAAATCCCTTACGGATTATGTGGAGTCCCTTAAAGAGATGCAGGCATTGCTGAAAAATACAATGCACAACTCCTTGAGGAGCTGAACCAAGTCAAGGCTGTTTTTGCGACACGCCCTCTCATCGAACTTGGTCTTCAGAACTACTGCGAGCGACATGCAGACCTGGCAGAGTATTCATGGACAGCCTTGAGCCAGGCATTTCTCCGCGATCACGCTTTCAATCTGCAGAAGAAGCCACAATGGTCAAGCTCGACTACCTGAACCGCCATTTTGGTTGGGCCGTTCAACCCAACTCACCAATGTTTCAGACGTGCCTTTGGGAAGTGTACGGTCGCTTCTCTGAGAAATACCATGGCATTGCTGACGTTGGGAAGGGCTTTGTCGTCACCGGCACGAATCCGCTTCAAACAGCAGCCCCGGTGATCCTCATCTCTGCCTTGCGCTATCAGAGTTGCCTTGGCCAAATGCAGATTGCGATCAATCCTCCAGATGTGACAGGGCAGCCTCCGCCCTCCCTTTACATTGACCAGAGCGGCGGGCTGCAAGACGTGGAGGTCTGAGCAGTAGAGCAGGACAAAAAAACGTTGCAACACAACAGCGAGTGGTCGCACGTGTTTCACTTCAATCTTAGAACCGAACAGGGTTCTAGAAGCCACAAAGCTCTTCAGGCAGCTCCCTGGCATCAACACCGGGGCGTGAAGCTGAGGATCCGGGTCGGTTCGGGCTTTACGATGTTGCTTTGGGCTTTGTAGAGATAGGGAGTTCAGGGTTTGTGGTTAATCATTGTTTCTTGTTTTTTTCTCTCTCTCTCTCTCTCTCTCTCTCTTCCTCTCTCTCTTCCACTCTTTCGCTCGCTAGCTATCTCCCTCTCTCTCTCTCTCTCTCTCTCCCTCTCTCCTCTCTCGCTCTCTGTCTTTCTCTCTCGCTCGCTCGCTGCTGAAGTCTTTCTTGGTTTGCCTGCATGACTGACCCTGTTTCGATCTGTTGGTGCCTGCTCTCACGCTCCAGAGATCCCAAAGCTTCAGAAGCGCTCAAGCACCATGAGAATGCAACCTGCTTCAGAAAGTTGCGGCTCCCTTCTTACGCTGTTTAGGGTCCCCAAACCCTAGTATAAGGGCTACTACAGGGGTTCGGCTCGTCTAGAAGGGTTACCATAGGTTTCTGGTAGCTGACAACTCCATCCTGCCTACACGAAGCCCTATGAAGCCTCTCCGCAAGCCACTCCACTCCCAACCCCACCCCAAGCCAAGCCACAAGGCTCTATGCTGACAGCCCTAGGTCATGATGCTACAGCCCTCAGAGAGTTTGACGAACAAGATGGCGCAGGAGATGGCGGCAGGCGCCCTGACATCGAGACCTTTGTGTGTACGGATTCGCGTATACAGTACGTTGTATAGGGTTCAAGGTTGAGCGGTCTTAGGGCAAGCCCATGCCAAGCTACTATATGTCTTAAATGCATAGACATGACGCACAGCTTCTGGCCGTCCTTCCTTGGTTTACAGTGCTTGGGGCTTGGATATCCTACCTACACCTGGAGCCGGGCCTTGTGCAAATGCTCTGCTTTGTATCATTCAGCCGAATCAGTCTGGGGTATGCTCCGTTTGTTAGTTTGAGGCTAGAAGAATCAAACGCTATGCCCGTACCCCGATCTTCCCCAAATCCTTGCAAAGAACCTGCACAGACCTATGCCATCCGTAAACTTCCGTGAAAACCTAAACCTGCATAAACATCCTGAAAGCAGGCTGTACCTGAACCCGTCCAAACCCTTCCAAGGACTTAAACTTTATAATAAGTCCTGAACTCCTAAACCCCTGGCTGCTTCACCCTTGCTCCCGGGCCAGGTTGGCTTAAGACCTTAAACACCAGTTGTAAGCGTTCTAAACCGCTGAAAAAGCAAAACCTCTAGGACAACTTAAGCAGAGCCTTTAGAATGACTTCGATAAGTTCCGCGGAGCCCCCAAAGGCATGTCGAACCAATTCCTAATCCCAGAACCCTAAATTCCAGGTGCTGAACCCCCGAACCTAAACCCCAAATCCATGTCTTTAAACCCTGTTTCCTTTATCCCCACGAAACACCCTACACCCTAAACCCCCTTACGCCCAAAGCCAAGCAGGCAGATTGGACCGGACCGCCATCGCCGAGCACCTGGGTCGATCAGACCAACCCTGGCTCGCCAGGGCCTCGGAGAGTTCAATTTCTGTGGGTTCGGGCTGTTTTTTTTATTTTTTTTTTTTTGGGGGGGGGGGGGGGGGGGTTCAGGGGTTTCTACGAGGATTTACAGGACTTTAGGGGTTTCAGGGGTTTGTGGGTGTTCTGTTAATGCCGCTGTATGGGTTTATTATGGTTTTCCGCGACCCAGTGATTTTCACGGGAGGCTGTTGTGCGGGCTGACAAGTGAGGTTTTGCACGGGTCTGAGGGGTGCAAGCTGCACTCCATGGCTTTGCAATTTCGGACCTGCCCGATGGGACACAGTCTAGGGCTTAGGCGTTTAAATGATTTCAGTTTCAGGGTTTAGGGTCGATTCAAAGCCTTAGCAAGCTTTCCTTGGCCAAGAGACCGAACCGACTCTGGATATGCTCCGAAAAATGAAGCCAGATGGGATACTGTTCTCCAGGGGTGCCACAGGGGCTACCGATATTCAGAGCAAGACCCTTCAACCCTAAACCCATTCATACCCTGCATGCGTAATCTTCTCCTCGAGGATGAGACTAAGCGATCAGGGCTCTTGTGCACGACTGGTGCTCCATCTGGTGGACCATCTGATGAACGATCTGACCCAGACATGCGAGGTGTATCTCGAGTCTGAAATCCTGCTTAAACTCAACCCCAAACTTTCTTGGCTTGAAGCCGGGCCTAAAAAAACATAGGAGCAGGAATAACCAGGAATGATAGTAATGTTGTTCCTTGATAGTCGCTTTGTAATCACACTTTACTATACCCGAGAAGCCTATCCCGATTATGAAGGCCCCAAAGCCTGCACTAATCATTATACGACAATGGACCCAAAAGCCTTCTACTGATTGTTAAGCCCCCCTTAATGGATGAAAGAGCCGTAGGATGCATTTTGGCTACACCACAGTCGGCGGCTGGGGACGGCGAGGCAGCTGCACTTCCCGGCTCCGGCGATTTTGGTGCTTTAGGGTCATACCGTCGGTCGGGGCTTGTAAGGGGTTGTGGGGATTTACGGCTTTAGGTTGCTTTGGGGTTGAGGGTTCAGGGTTGTGGGGTTTGGGATCCGAGGTCTTGGATTTGGGTGGTACTAGTAGTGGGGATTGGCCGATCTCCATGCAGCTTTTGATGCCCCACGTTTGACTGCGTTTGCTTCAAGGACTCTTGAGAGCTTTAGTGTGTGATGAGATTCTGTACGGCTAGTGACGTCGTCGGTATCGTCTTTCAGGGTAGTGGAGTCAAGGGTAAGGCGGGTAAGGGTATGGTTGCTAGCGCTCTCGAAGCTTGAACACCGTTGGCCAAGTGAGGGCTCGTATGTCCACTATGCCAGGGACGGGAATCAAACCACCCAAACCCCTAGTCCGTGGAAGGAGATATCTAACCCACTAAATCCGATGCCCAATGAGAACTTTCAGAATACAACGAACAAATGTGTGTAATTATACATATACACTATATATGTATATATATATATATGTACTCACATACATACATGACATGCTAGTGACATGACATGACATGACAGAAGTTGACATAAGTACATGTCCTAGGTACAAGAACACATACATACTCGCATACAGACATGCATGCATATGTACGTACATACATACATACCTACACGCATACACACATGCATACATACATATACATGCACACACACAGATACGCACGCACATACACGCATACACACATACATGCAAACGCACACACACACACACACATACATGCATGCAAACCTGCGCACATACATACATGGATACATACAGACATATATGTATATGAATGAGAACATATCCATCTACAGAATACGTATATATTCCAAGCCCTCCGAAAGGTTTGGGCCACGCTCGGCTGCAGAGGGAGGGGGTCTTGCATTCCATGGCCGCTTGAGCTGCAAGAGTTTGTTGTACGAAGAGAGTGTAAGGGTCTTTGTAACTACTGCAAGGGCGACCATGTTGGTATGAGGGGTTAGCGCTTACTAACAAGGATATTTCAAGCGCCGTTACGATGACGAGTTCTTTTAGGGAAGATAGGTGATACCATAAAGGGGTTCAGCAAGGGTTGCCGCTGTTGGCAGTTTTGGTGTCATTGGGTTTGAGATGGTCTGGATTGGCAGTCCTTGGATTTCCGCGGGATTTCGTATGCCCGTGTGAGGAATAGTGCTGAGGTTACTGACGTTGGGCTGTCAGGCTGCTAGTAACTTGCTGATATATGATCTAAGCCCTAAACCCTTTACCTGAACCCTTTCCCCCCAAATCCTTTTTTAACCCTGACTTACACCACATGCCCCCCAATCCCAGGCCCTGATTGAGTAAAACCCCAAACCCTCCTAAAACCCGAAACCACGAGCCCTAAACCCAAATGTCCAAATCAACCTGGAGGAGTCTTGGCGTGCTTCGTCTGCGAAGGCTTAGGAGTAAGGTCAGTCTATCGTATTGCTTTGACTTTCAGACCAGGGCATTCCAGAATATGCTCCGAGGTTTAAACAAAAACTTCTTTGTTGCGAACATCACAAGGTCTTGTGAATCTTGTGTCATGTGCCGCGCTGTAGTGCGGCGACGTCATCGTAGTCGTTATGGGAGTCCTCGTTGCTGCCTTCTACTGCCTGTTGTTGTTGTTGTTGTTGTTGTTGTTGCTATTGCTATTGTTGGCTGAGTAGGTAAACTTTAACCTTCTGGGGTTTATATATAATCATACCGTGATTGGAAAGGTCAACCTTTGTTGGGCGAGGGTACCCAGCCCCTAAGTTGGTGTTGCTTTGAACACCAAAGACCTTGGATTGGATAAGCCTTTGATCCGAGGCTGCGACGTGCGCTTTGTGGCAGGTGCCCGGCTTGACCCACCCTTCTTATTTGGTACCCTCAGACTCGCGGGTTGCGGATTGTTGGAACTCGAGTTTGAGTTTCGTGTTAGAGCTTTTGGTATAGTGTTGGGTGGGTTGTTTGTTTTTGAGGTTGTGAGTTTGGGTTTCGGGCATTGCCTTGCTATTGTTGGAGGAACCTTGGCCTCAAGGGTGCTCTTTTTGAGAAGCGACGGCTTAGACTGGGAAAGTCGCCCGCTCACAACACGTTCTCAGTGCAACGCTTAACCTTAGTGGTAGAGTAGGTAACCTTTGTATATCCTTTCTGGGGTGCTACGATCCCTTTTTGAAGGGACACCTTGCGGTCCCTTGGCTACATGTAGATTCTAGATTGATTGGCTTTCCTACTACGAAAGAGAGTCTTCTCTGTTCAACCAATGCCATGCAGACTTCATGTTCCCTCAAGGCCAGGAGTGCAAGAGCTAAGCCCCTGAACCCCAAGCTCCCTAAACGGCCCTAAGCCCTAAAGGCAACGCCAAAGCCACAGGGCTCAGAAGCTCCTGTACCGACCCGAAAACTCTCCGACCGGTTGAGCAATGATAGACCCTGATCCCTAAAGCCCGAAACCCGAATCCCTGAAGCCCTGATCCCTAATCCCTAGAGCCCCAATCCTTATAATCCCCAAAGCCTTTCACCGGCTGTCGCTCCTCAGAATGGGGCGATGCACGGCGGCGCCGACGATTGTCGGCCGGAATCCGAGTGTGGCAGCGTGGAGTCAGAAAACCCGTATTCTCCTCCCGCAAGAATCGTTTCGGGTTTAGGGTTGCTTGCGATGCAGATCCGGCGACGCCTTGCTCTGCAAGAAGCCATGCTGCAATAGAGCTCCCAGTTGCAGACGGGGAGCTGTCTCCTAATACAGCCAGGAAACAACAACCCCAGCCCTTGGATGGTTTGAGGCTTCGCCCTACCTGTTTAGCCCATGAAGGATATCGCTTTGGGGGGTCTGGATAGGAGTCCAAGCGCCCAAGTAGTGTTGTTTGCGCTTAGATGCCAACTTAGTCCCAACCGGGGGAGGGAGCCACACGGACCCAACCCTCTCCAACGCAAAATTCTAAGCTCAAGGCCAAAGCCCCAAAGAACGAATTCCTGAAGCCGCTAACCCAACACCCCAACAGCAAAATCCGCACTCTGAGCCGCAAATCGCAAAATCATAGCGCCCTAAAGTCCTAAACCCCTAAGAAGTCCAACACGAGGCGTGTAGCCTTGGCAAACATCGGGGGAGGCCGACGACTTCCTCAGGCTCGCACTCCTCTTTGGTTTGGTGATTTAGGGTTTAGGGTCTAGGGTTTGGTTGAGGGGTGCCCGGGTTCTTTGGAGGTTTGGGCTCTTCGGCCTTAGAGTGTCAGGTTGAGGGGCTATTTGTTTGGGGCGGTTGCTTGCGTTGTTACGGCATTCGGAAGCAGAGCACCTAAACCCTAAGCCCCTGTAAGCCCTAAGCCCAAAATGAAGTTACTTGCGGCTATTGGTCAGGAGCCGAGCGTCCCTGGCCTCGCTTCTTCCGCACACGGCCAGGTTTCGGGGGGAAGCGGTGAGCCAGACAAAGGAGTAAGGGTTTCGATGGGACATTAGGCCTTCTAGGGCTTAGGGTCTAGAAATTTAGGCATCAGGCTCCATGGTGTCGGGTTTAGAGTCTAGAGGCTGGGGTATGGGGTTTACAGTGGCAAGGGGTTGTGACTCACGGGTTGTTAGTTCGGTTTGGGCCTTGGGTTTTGGATTTCGAACCCTCGTAAGCAGTTCCCTTGTCGAACAACCCAGTCGCCTAGACAGCAATGGTGAAGCAAAGTAACCGACTGTCGTTGCTGTTCCAGCTAAAACGTGGGAACCTGATTAAGAAACCCTGGGCCTAGAACCCCCAAGTAGTAGGATTCATACAAGGAGCCCCAACACAGGCCCACGGCTTCTTAATCAGGTTCCTACATTACCATCAACGCACGTCCTGTGTTGCCCACTTAAACTCGGAACCAGCCCTGAAGGCGGAACCCTGAACCATGGGCCGAACTTAGACCCTGTCTAGCACCCAGAGTAAGCCCTTATTCCCTTTTTTCGGGTTCGGGTTCCCTTAGAGACCCCGTTTAAACCAAAAAGGGCAGCCTGTTTATTCCTGGGTCCTAGGTTGCTCTCTTAGGTCTAGTTGTAGCCCCTGTCTGCTAGAAATGCCAAAGTCCCCCCGGCTGAGGAACGTTCTTCTCCAAACGTACTTGAGGGAGCGATCCGTAGTTTCAGTGATATGGGAGTTTCCGAAAATGGGGGACCCTAATATAGGACCCTAAATAACAGGATCCTTATGATAAGGACCCCTAAATACGCCTGTTGGTAAGCTAGGAACAATCCATATACCCCCCCCTACACTTGTCCCCCTATATTCAATGAGCATAAACAAATAGGACTTTCTAAAATCCATTCTTCCCGACGGGCGTGAGGGGGTTGATAGAATTAATGGTAAGTTTTGGGTGGTTCGGGGCTTGGGTCGTAGAGTGACTCTTTTCGTCAATCGCAGTCTCCCAAAACACCCAGTAAGTTTGCAATATTGGCGAGCCAATGACTTGGACTCTACTGCAACAAGCCTTTTAGTTCAGCAGACTTTCATTTTCATGCCTCTGAAGGGTGTTGTCGTCCTCGGTGGTGCATCGCATCAGCGCAGGAGCACACATGGCAGTTTTTCGGTGTGCTTAGGGAAACACCCTTAGTGCATAATGCTTCCGAACTTAAGCAACCTGTGTCGTTGATCGAGCCATGGTGTAGAAAAACAAAACCGGTGCGAAACTGTGCCTGTTCCTCGCCGTGGGCTTTGTGCTGACCCAGACGGTTTTTGTGCCTCCGCCGGAGGCTTGGGAGTGGCAAGACATACTATGCGGGGAATGAAAAGTTGTTTTTTGGGCAGTTGTTGCTTCCCGCTCGTGTTTGCATTTAGCCCCTTCAGGTGGGATTGGGCACGCGCCGAAGCATTCCACTGTGTGGTGCCATGGTCAGCACATGCATCGTGGCAGTGCCGGAGCGAGTGTCAGCAGATGTGTCTGCGCAGGAAGCTGTTCAGACCTTTGTCAAAACCGTGGGTGACAACAGGGATTTCTGATGGCCTCAGCAGCTGCCTTTTGGACTTATCGGCAGGTGCAGGAAGCAGAACGACAGACAGAAGAGGCGTTCAAGCAGTCCGATGAGTACAAGGTCCAACGTGCAGTCGCCAAGTTCATGGAGCGCCCAAGCGCGAGGTCATCCACAGGAAGGTCATGGACACCATCGCCAACAGGGTCAAGACGTGGGACGAGCATGCCACAATAATCAGCGGCCGCTTCCAGACTGGCAAGACCGGTGCGGTGGAGGAAGTCGTGCGTGGTGCACGGGGAATCTTCAAGCACACGGTGAAGGATGAGCACTGGGAAGAGAAGCTATACAAGAGCCTTCAGGTTGATGGACCTGGCATGTTTGAGAGTGTCCTTGTTCGGGTGGAAGCAGAGTTGGCGACGTTGGCTGACCCGATCACCAAGATGCCAATCATACTGTTTGAAGTCCCACGCACCACAACCAAAGGCCTCCCATATTGGGAACCTAGAATGATGAAACAAGGGTCCTTGCTGAGGAGTCCTCCCAGTGCTGCACATTCACCAGTATTGAAAAAACAAGCTTCACCCAGAACGCCCGGACAATGAATGTGCAGCCCTAAACAAAAGCAGCCCCTACCCTACCCTGTTACACTTACACTGTGGATGTCATCATCTAGGCCTCGGAGCATTCAGCCCTGAAGCTCAAAGACAAGGACCCGACAGAGCCCCAAAGCGGCCAACAAAACCAGCTAACTACTAAAATCAAACCCTGGCCCCCAAAGCTCTAAACCATACATGCTTTAAAACTTAAAGCCATCAACTAAGGCCTGCATAAGCTTCTTTAAACCGTAAACAAGCCTATGAGCTGGGGACCTAAACGCGGAACCCCTTAGCCCTAAATCCCGTAGCCCCAGACTTGTCAGCAGAGTGGGCAACCTGTGACCTCTCCCGGTGGTATAACCTCGTCAGGATCTCAAATGTTAATGTTGAGTTTCCCGTATGATACTGCACAATTACCCATTTCCTTCTTGTGGGTTCTCTTACAGGACCACAAAGAAAAACATGCTAAACCAAAACAAGATTTACAATGGAGACTCTACCCCCTACGAACCCTTATATTGCTGTATAAACCCCTCAGTAGCTATACCCTTGTAAGCCCTGAACCATAGACTTCACGGTTTCGAAAGTCGTTGTCTTCGCCACCGGTGTCTTGATCGTCCTCATGGTGCTTGCCCTCGTTAACATTTCGCAGCAAGGACGAAGAGCCACAACAGGCAGCCGAAGACGAAGAGCCACAACAGGCTGTCTTCAGCCGCATCATCGGCCCCACGTCCCAGGAGCCACAGGTCACGGAAGCGCCGGCGGAGGGGGCTGCCGCCAGCGGGGGCAGTCGTTCGTCCGAGAGGACGGCTACCTTTGGTGAAGGCAGCAATCACCCACCTCCGCCGGCAGAGGCGCGAGGATTCTACCATCCTGTACCATGCCTCGTCCTGTTGATATGAGGCCGCTCGTTTGCAGGGTACGGATTTTTAGGTTTTTGAAGCCCCCTCATGTGAATTCCCGAGTTTTCAGTCCCGGAAGCTGAAACTGTAGCCCTAAACCTTGACCTAGCTTGTCCCTAAACCTTAAACGCGAAAACATGTATAGAACCCTCCTGGAACCTTCTAAAGCGCCAACGTAACTTCAGGACTTCCCTGTCGCGCTTGGCGGTCGTAAAAAAGACTAGGACCTCAAGGGTAAGTGCTCGACCGTCGGAGTGAAAGCTCATTGCGCCTTCATTGAAAAGGATAAATCCCCATAAACCCTCAGAAATGGGGCCCTTGCAACCTCTACAAACCCTTTTGAACCCTGATGAACCCTATAAACCCTAAAGGTTCCCCCACCCCCCCCGACAAAAAACAAAAAGGTACGTGAAGAGCTGGCCAGGTCGGAGAGCAGGTCGTCCCAGGGTCTGGCCACACCCTGCAGAGGAGCCTTGTGTGCTGTGCTGTCGGAGGGGGCGAAGTTGCGGACTTGAAGGTTTTAGAGTTTACGGCTTTTGAGGGGCTTGGGGGTTTAGGGTTTATAGGAGGTTTAGGGTTTGGATTCTGTTTTTTTGAGGGGGAGCGTTGGGGTGCTGCGAGAGCTTAGTGAGGGTTCTAATGAGGGGTTTTGGAGCTATTGTTTACGATCGTGCTCATTTTCAAGATCAATTGCTTTTGTGCCTTGAGGGGAGTGGGCTGGCGACAAGGGATTCCGGTGTTGACGGTTCGGCGTGGGTGGGTGGCTGGCTGGGTGAATGGGAAAGTTCGGATTTGGGGTTTCGGGTAGTTGCGAAGGCTATCGGAAAGTTTGAATTCAGCATTGTATGGCTGCGGTTGAGAATTTGGGAGTTCAGCGGTGGGGAATTTGAGATAAGCGATAAGCGAGCGTTTGGGTTTGGCTATCACGCGGGGTTTAGAGATCAAAGGACTTAGGAATTTAGGGTTAGAGGCTCAGTTAGAGGATCAGAAATTTCAGGACCGACGGGGTCCAGGCATTTCGGGGTTGCTCCGAGTTTGGAGTTTGGCAGGTTCGGGTTTAGGCTTGTTTCCGGCGGAAGCTGGCACATGCCTGAAGTCCTAATTCCTAAATTATCAACGGTACATTGTAAAAGGCACGTGAAAACCGTCAAGCTTAGTCGTTTCGTCTAAAGCTTTAAGTGGTAAGGCTTTTTTTGCAGTGTGCCGTCGCGACAGTATACCTTCAGTACAGCATCGGAGCCTTCATGGTACGACCGTCTCTTCTCGACAGTTGTACATCCTGCCGTGAGACATAAGTTCTGATGCTGGGAACGAGCACCCCTATCATCAACAACTGCGGTCATCATCGTGTTCATCGCCGTGACCGCAGAAAGTATTTCATGGCTCGACTCATAAGAGGCCCTAAACCCTAACTCCTAAAGCCTCAACCTGCTAAACACTGAACCCTGAACCCTCATCAGCTGTATTGGTCCAGTCGCCACCGCTTGCATCGCCATTGCACCTCAGAGGCACACTGCCTGCTACCGGTGGAGTACGATTTCTTCGCTGACTACAAGGCAGCACCTTCCGGAGAATTTGCGAGCTCAAAAGCTTCAGGGCTTGCATGCACCCCGAGGCCTAACGCTATTTTGGACGTAGGTTTAGGACTTTCTTCAGTTCTTTGATGGGTCTAGAACCTGACACCTACCACGTCGCTCCCGTTACGTGCAAACTAGGTTGTTCAAGCAGCTTTGAGCATGGTATTTCCAACTCGGCCGCTTCGAACCTCAATTAGAGTCTGCTTGCTACCTCGCTGTTCCTGCAAGAGAACCGTTTCTAAACACTGATGGTTGGATTCCTAAACCCTGAAACTCTACACCCTAAACTGTGGCTAAACCCTAGGAGCCCTAAACCCTGAACTGAACTTCGCGTTTGACGGACAACTGTTGGTTTCTGCGATAAAGGGGCCGCTTAAATTCCCTGAGCGCGTGGTGTCTGCTCTATAAAGAAACCGAAGGTACGGAACCCTTATTGAGGTGTGCATACGGGTGTAGGTTCATACGGGTTTATAGGTGTTGAAAAGGGTTTGCTCTCCATTGTGGGTACAATATCGGTTTCACAGATTTTCGGTTTCGAACCCCATACCATAAAGTAACCCAAAACGGAGCTACATTGGAGAGTAGAGGTATTTATAACCATCGAAGGAAGTAGAGCATGGAAGGAAGGTGGGTGATGGCAACCCTAGTTGTGAACATCAATACTTTGCAGCAGAAGCTCAGTAGCAGTGTGGATACAGCTCATAGCAACAACAGGAAAAGATACAAGCAAGCACTAGGACTGCTTGCTATTTTTCTGATGCTCAGATCAGTGGTGTTTCAAAAAGCCCTGTGAAAACAAGCGACGCATGCTTGTCAGATGGCATTGCACTCACTCACAATGCCAAAGGCTATCCGAATGCACGTTTGGCAGCGGGCTCAGCTAGGCCCAGTCTCAGGCGCTGTAAGGTTGGGGGTAGCTATAGAGCAACTTGACGATGGGAAACGTAGTGTCAGAGGTGGCAAGTGGATCATTTTCAGTATTCCGTGCGCTTTTGCTTCTCAAGGCTTTGCGACGGTTCGATGTTGGAAGCGAGGGCTTTAGCCTAGGGTTCCAACTTTTTTAGATAAGCGGCCTCCAGGACAGGGCTTTGGGGTTCAGATTCGGGCTACCGGCTCCCGTACGAAAAGCTCTTCACGATCATTTGGAATCTTCCAAATGTTGCCTCGGATTTTGTGGTGTTCCGTAGGTGTCGTCTTCCATGTTCATCGTAGAACAAGCGCATGATGTTTGCTGCTTTGCGGCGCCTTTGCTGGCGCAACCCTAAGCCCTCACGTCCCTGAACCATGATCTTGAACCGAAACAGTTTATGGCGCTATTCGTTTTGAGTTTGGGCTCAGGGTTTGAGGATTCCCGAGATGTGTCAGCTGCAAAACCTGTGTAGATTTCTAAAAAGAGTCTTGAGCAATTGTTACCAATACTGTTCAACGGAAATACCCCCAATCCCTGTTTCAATCCTGAAGGCCCCAGTACGAAGCAGAAAGCCCCCGGGTTGAATCACCTGTACTTGCATGGTCGGAGCCCCTGAAACTCCAACTCCTGAATGGAACCGCAAAAACAAAGCCTCAACTTAAAGCCCCCAAAGCCCAAGAGCTTAAGCATTGAGCCCCAAACCTTAAGCCCTCAACAATGATAACCCTCTATATGCCCGCGAACCGTATGGCCCTATGTCCTATAACTTATTACTTATGCCTCCAAAAGCCCAAAACCGAACACTATAGGGGATTCCTTTCATGAGTATGGCATAAGGTACTTGGCCCCGGGGCTGTCTCGTATCACCTGGGTGTTTTATGCATCTGTAAGGCGTCTACTTCGGGAACGCATTATGGACGATACATCAGTTTATCAAGCTTTGCATCTGCACTTTCATATTCTTCCGCGTCTGCAGCACGCGCTCGCATCTGTCAGTCTCAGTAGGCTTGTGCGCGTGCACCCATCCTCGCGCGATTGTGTGCTTGTGTATTGTAGACCATGTATGAATCTTGGAAGGGCGAAGACAAAAGTGCATTGTGAACCGTGCATTGTCGAGAAGCCCTTAGGAGAGCTGACATTTGAACTGCTCCAAATCCCAGCGTCTACAAGGCAAACGCATTGACTTCTTATCGTGAAATGCCTCCAAATGTACTATATACCTCAGCGTCCACAACAAATCCGGCACTCTGGCCTGTCTGCTGCATGCTTGCGAAACCAGCGTCTGCATTGACATGCTGTTTAGCTAGTTCTGATGTGCAATTTCCCTGCTGATGTGTACTCTCCCCAAACCAGCGTCTGCCGGCATTGATGTGTATTCTCACCGACTGATGTGAGATAGCCCCAACGCCGAGTACCCCAAAACCCGATTATAAGTATTTCGGCCCTACACTGTAGCCCCAAAAGCCCAAAACCGAATTACTTTGTTACCTTCAGGTCCGAGTCACGCGAGCGAGGAAGATTGGCAGAGGAAGGCTGGGGCTCCCGTAACTGGGCTCTTGTTAAGGAATTTACTTCAAGTTGCCATAATGAGGATCTACAGGAAACAAATATTCTGGT